GATAATGTCAGAATCATTGCCTCGTCCTGCCCTCAGCTTCTCTCTTCGGGCTTGTCTATGGCTGACTTTATGTGGTGTCCCCGGGAGAAGGGCAGGCAGCACCATGCAGCGGATCACAAACCGCTGAACACCTCATATTCCATTCTTGAATAGATAAATAGCACTTGGGGAATTATGTACAAATCTAAATCTAGATTCTGTATTTCCAGTGTTCTTATTTTAGGCATTATAATTTAGAGTTTTTAAATACAGCATAGGAAAAACTAGGTTTTGAGATTAGAATTGAACTTTAAAAATCACATAGCATGGTGTTTGTCTGCTTAGGGATTTATTAAAATTTGAAACCAGATTTTAAGAGAAATGGAAAGATTTGAAAATACTTCTGTAGAGGAGTAACTACTGATAGCATTACATTTGACTTATATGATAAGAATAAAAATTAAGCATGCTCGATAGTGGTTACTCATTTTTTTCCCCCCAATAAGTGTATTTAATTCAGTAAATACAGGAGTATTTTTTTTCTTCAGTAATGTACCATGAAATAGGATTACTTTTCCTTGTATAGACAAAATTATCCTGAGAATAGGTAATATTTTGATCAAATATTTAAGGCACATAATTTATCTATCAGGTATAGTATGTTTAGGTCCATAAAATATCATTATAATTTCATGGTTTTTTTATTGTGTTTTGTCCCTGGTTTTTCCTATGCTTTATTTAAAAATTATTTTTCTTGCCTTTTATTTGACTTTTGAAAAAGCTTTAGTGAGAATATGTATTCTTTTGTTTTGACATAAAAAGTGTTGACTATAAGAAGGAAGGGGTAAAAAATTTCTTGGATTAAAATATACCATAAGTAAACAAATAAGCTTTGAGTTCCCATGGGGTTTTAGATCCTCAAGGTAGATGCTTGGGATTTAAAAACCTTCAGGAATCTTTGTTAATTTGTGTTAACTTGAAAATTATAAATTATATATCTGTATAATAAACTAAAATATTTGTGTAAAGAATGTAAGAATACAGTATTTTTTAGTGGGATGAAAAATTAATCTGAAGCCAAGTTCCCTCCTGATTTGGAAATCATATTCCTTCACTGTCATGTCTGGACAATGGCATCCTGGGTCCTGGGTAGTATCATACTGACACCTTCTGTGGCTTAACGTGATTTGTTTTCCTTTTCTATTTCCTTTAGTCATTTAACTGGGACCCAAATCATTGGATACTTTGGATGGCCTGTTTGAATTTAATTTATTTCTCTTGGTGCTTGTTTATTATTTTCTTTAAAGTTGCGATAAAAAGTAATTATAAGAGAAAAGAAAATCACAGTTTTGGCACTAATGTTAATATTTATTCATCTGTCACCTGATGGAAACTTGGGAGTGTAAAAAAGTAACTCACCCTTAAATATTGTTTATCTATTTGCCAGTGAGATTTAGACTTTATATCAAAAGACAAGGAAAGAATCTTGCTTCCATTTCTAGAAACTGCAGTGCACCTGCAGAGAGAAAGATAAAAACACGTATGTGAAGTGGAACATAGTATTTGGTATTTATTTTCAAAGTGCATAAACACGTCTGTACAGGAATGTTTAAAGATATATGATCTAGTACCATTTGTCAGTTTAAAAGTCATTGCTTGAGAATTTGTATTGGTCTAGGAGAGTCTCAGCTCATTTTCTTTTTATGTTTATCTAGTATGGTGTCTCTGCCATAAAATTGATCTAACTCATAAAAATGTTGTCCTCAGTTGCCTCAGTAAACAAATTCCTGTGTAGCTTCTCTTCTCTCCAATATGATAGTTTTGTGAAAAGTCACCAGGATGGTTAAAAAATTAGAAAATGAACATTTGTAATTATTGCTTAGAAAATGATTTAAGGAACGGTTTTTAAAAACATGAAGGGCCCACCCCCCTTGCCCAAGGGGTAATATAGCAAGATATACTTTTTAAAAAAATTTTTATTGTTATGTTAATCACCATACATTACATCATTAGTTTTTAGCAAGATATACTTTTTTACTTAAAAAAATTTTTTTAAAGATTGGGGCACCTGGGAGGCTCAGTCGGTTAAGCATCTGCCTTTGGCTTAGGTCATGATCCCAGGGTCCTGGAATCAAGCTCTGCTCAGTGGGGAGCCTGCTTCTCCCTGGGCTGCTCCCAGGCTTGTGCGCTCTCTCTCTTTCTCTCAAATAAATAAATAAAATCTTTAAAGTAAAAAAAAAATTAAGATTTATTTATTTATTTGAGATAGATTGCGTGGGATGTGAGGGGCAGAGGCAGAGGGAAAGAGAGTCCTAAGCAGACTCCGTGCTGATCATAGAGCCCCATGCAGGGCTCAGTCCCACGACCCTGAGATCACTACCTGAGCTGAAACCAAGAGTACGAGGTTTAACCCACTGTGCCACCCAGGTGCCCCAGTAAGGCATAGTTTTGTAAAGCATCAAGAAGAATTGGGGCTTGACCAAAAAAAGTGCATTGAAATTTTGTGCTTTGGGATACGATACTAACCAAGTAGCTTCCAGACTCCACTGGCCCACACAGGCAGGTCCCCAAATAGGGTCATTTTTAAATCTTGGAGGTCTTAAAGATTCAAATTATATTGAATATATTATATCAAATATATCAAATAAATTATATAGAATATATTAAAATAAATCCACAATCCTCTATTAAGTATAATTTTCACTGGTAAGTATTTGGAAATCATTACTGTAATTTTGCTTTTAAAGTTACTTTCCTAAGAGTGATTAATTTCATTTACTGTGCTTTCAGTATGAAGTCTTGGAAACTGAAGAGACAGAAGCTAGCATACAATTTCTCTCTAAAATTAAGGAACTTCTTATGAGTACAAAATTTAATATAAAAATCAATATGTTTCAATTTGAGTTCCAATTTAAGTATATGTTTCAATTTACTTATATATTCACTAATTTCAATTTTGTTACTTTTTTCATTTTTTGGAAGCAATACTTATTTCTCCACTGTGGATGTGACTTTGAGCCCCTGGAAAGGTCGGGGGCCTTCGTCCCTGACAATACCACTCACATAAAGCTGCCCTGCATCGCTCATCCTGTGCCCTCTCCTTCTTCTGGTTTCTTCTTGCCTTTACCTGAAGGGGTTTCTCCTTCCGATCACAGCGGCCACTGGGCTTCCCCTTAGTTTACATGGATTTGATATGAAATCATTAAATTTTCTGGATAACCATTAAAAAAACATTAGATGTTCTTTCTTGGAGTGAAGAGTGTTTGGAGGGTGCATGAAGTTTTCACCCTGTATTTCTGGGGGCATAACTGAGGAGTGGGACCTGTAATGAATTGAAAGTAGCTGAATTTGACCTTGCAAAACAGCATTATTTATGGCCCTGTGCCTCAGTGATGTTCTCAGGGGCTAGAATTCCAAAGTGCAGAATTCAGTTTCCTTAGGAATACTCTGGAAATGTCCAATTTGTGGTCTTTTAGAAAGAAAAAATTTATTACCATTTAATAAAGAATAATGAATATAGGGCAGCTTCAATTCATTTGACTGTTTACAATGAATCAGGCATTATACTAGATTGTTGCTCATTTTTTTAAAACTCAAACTTCCATTTGATAGAATAAAAATTGAAAACTTGCTTTAATGTCATTTGTAACTTTGAAAGGCATTAAGTTTGTGACTTCAACAAAATCAACACCATGGCAATTTTAGAATATTATTTTTTCAAACCACACATATCTCCCTGCTGTTGACCTTCTTTTTCCATACCATGTCCCCACCCCCTCCCCAAATGCTTCGATATTGTGTGGTTCTTTTACAGCTGTAAGGGTGGAAGGACACGTGGTTTTCTGTCCTGCAAATTGATCATCTCACTGAATAAGATGCAGTTTAGAAGGTTAGAGAAATTAAAGATTTGACCCAAGTCAACAACTTTTAGCAACAAGGTTGGGGTTAGGGCTGGGTCCCTTAAGGGTCCATGAGTATTGGAACCTGCCACACATTAGGCATAAAGTCACAGAATATTCAAGGAGAATAATTTGGAGGATCCAAGTGAATTCCTTTAGTCTGTGACAACCCCAACTGTGGTATTGGGATCAGTTTAGTATCCTGGAAAAATTCTGCAAAGAAATACCAAAGCAGATTCCTAAAGAATTCCATGCTGGTGGCACCCTCTATATTTCAGAAACAACATTATCAAGAATTTGAAGACAATCTCATTTTCATCCTGGATTCTAAATTTGCTGTTATACCTCAAGTTCCCCAGTAAGAGACCTCTGTGTTGGAAAGTCATGTGCATGTTTGTGATACATAATATAGTTAATCACACTTTCCAGTCCAAAAAAATTAGGAAGTTGTATGAAAATAATAAATACAGGATCAAGGATGCATAATATTTAAAATTAGGACAGTCTTGAAAAGAGGATGTTTGATTACTCTAAGCACATGTATGGTGGCTATTTCTAGAGAGAAGGAGTAAGGAAATTATGTGTTAAATCTCCAAATGTTAGCATTTTTTAAAACTACAGATTGAGAAAGCAAGGACTATAGCCCCATTTAATAGACCGTCTAATGTTGTATTATTTGTTTTACTGCAAAGAGCACTTTTGCTCTATTTCAGCTTAGAAAGCTGGGGTGATTTGATGGATGGTAGACCCCAGGAATGTGTCTGCTTAGGAGTTGAAAACAGAAATCTCAGAGGGCACTGATGATAGAAATGCCACATCAAGGAGAAGTAGGAATATAGTGTGAGAGCATAGGCAGAAACACAGAAACATTGCACTAAAGAGAATCAGTGTTAAAGAAAGTGAGTGTATCACGATGTTGTTGGCAGAAGAGAGAGTTTTAGAGTGTTGGTAACAAGGATGCAGGACCAAAGGAAATTTTTTTTTGTTCTAAGTTATTTGGTGGTTACATCCAAGGCTGAAGAATTGAAGTTTAAATACAAAAATAAATGAATATAAAAACCATCATATGCGCCGAAAACATACTTGGAACTCATTCCATTTCTCTTTGTCCTCTAGGCGGCACTCCATTCCACAATGGCCTCCCTTGCTGCAGCAAATGCAGAGTTTTGCTTCAATCTGTTCAGAGAGTTGGATAACAATCAAGGGAGTGAAAATGTGTTCTTTTCTTCTCTGAGCATCTTCACTGCCCTGGCCCTGGTCCGTTTGGGTGCACGAGGTGACTGTGTGTCTCAGATTGATAAGGTCAGTCTTGGTTGTGCCACCACCCATGGTTTCTGCAATTAATCAGTTAGGGCAAATTGTTTCCTACAAGAGCATATTCTACTGCAATGGTCCCATGTAAATGAAAACATCTCAGTGAGCCTCTCTCTGGATATGAAGAAGACACACTGATTGTAGCACTTGTTTTTGGGATGAGAGAAGGAATATTCTCAGAACTGCCACTTTGATTCTTTTCCTTAGTACAGTGGTTCTCAAAATGCGTTTCCTAGACCAGCAGCATCAGCATCACCTGGAGAACTTGTTCGAAATGCAAATGCTTGGGCCCCACCTGAGACCTGATCAGAAACCTATGGGGATGGAACCCAGCAGTCTATGGTTTAATAAACTCTCCAGGTGCACACTAAAGCTTGGGAACCACCGCCTGGGTAGAAGTAGATGAGAAAGAAGAAGAGCAAGATACCAAATGAAGTCCCACTTTAAACACAAGTGGCGTGGCACCAATGACACAATAGTACATTCCAGATAATAGAAGCCTACCTGAATGGTTATCATATTGTCACCAGCACATGTAGAAAGTACTTTTTAACTCACCCTTGTATACTACCCTGAACCAGGCTGTGCAGGGAAGTGACACAGTCACGGAACTGTAGTAGCTTGGTAGCAGATGAGATCCCAGGTCCAGGCTGCCTGTGGAGGTCTTTGTCATCCCTTTCTGCCCCCTGGATCCCCCCATAATTTTATTCATAAATGAGAGCTAGCGGAAGATTGTCTGCGTTGTAACCCTTCACAACTAAGCACTTGTTGATTGTTTGTGCTGATAATTTAAGCTAGGACAATTCATTTCTCACTCTGGATAGCTCAGTGAATATTTGTTGCTAGGGAATAACCACAGAGTCTCAGAATGCCATTTTCCCAAGAGCTGGAGTGATTCACAACCACAGTGCATTGGGCACTTTTAATGAGATGATAGCAGCTAACTGCTGAGAACTTCATCAGTGTCTGGCTCTGGGATAAGCTCTATGCGTATCTCACTGGCCGCTTGCAATAGCACCGAGCAGGCACTTACCCTGATCTTGTGTGTTCCCATGCCATCTTAGCTAGTAAGTGGCAGCACTACGAATAAAACTCAGGGTGATCTTCTAAATCAGGGTTTCTAAATCTTGGCCCTACTGACATTTTGAGCCAGATAGTTCTTTGTTGTGTGTGTGTGGGGGGATTTTCTGTGCATTGTAGAAGGTTTAGCAGCATCCCTGGCTTTTCCCCACTAGATTCCATTACTGTACCCCTGTCCGGTCATGACAATCAAAAATGTCTGCAGATGTTGCCAGATATCCCCCAGGAAGCAGAATCAACCCACAGTTGAGAAGTATTTGCCTTAAAGCCACCAAACTGAAATGCAGCCCAAAGTACATTATTGCAAAGCCTCAGTTGTTTTAAAGTTAGTATTTTGATAAACAAATATAAAGACTTTCGGGGGGAAAAACTTAGCAACTAATAAAAATGTATTCATTCATTAGTATAAGTACATAATGTTTTAGAACCAAGTAAAGCAACGTGGTCTGGGAGTTAGGAAATCAAATCCAAATTCTGATTTGGGAAAATTAGTTCATCCATGTGGGCCTCAGTATCCTCACGTATAAACTATGGGGGTCGATTTGGTGGTATCCGCTTAACAAATAGCTTAAAAGTTGTTCCTGTTGTATATGATAGACAAAGATGTGTAGGCTCCACACTTATGACAAAACCCCACACCTTTAACCCAACAGAAGACACAGTTATTCGTTATTGTATGATTTCAGGTTAGGAACATTCCTGGGCTATTGCCTGATTAATTTCCTGCGGTCTCCTTGCCCTCCCAGCAGCCTGGTAGACCCTGGTCAACAACTCAGGGGAGGTGGGTCACAGTGGATTCAAAGAGCCTATCTTACTGGGGTCTGCTCTTCGTCTGTCACTGCTGGAATCAGTGCCTTTGCTGAGTTACTTTTTATGCCTTTGCTGTTATAACCTATAAGAAACAGGCAAGAGGGAAAAAAATGCATTGTAGACACAGAAACATTCATATAATTCATCTGTACAAATATTTAGTCATCTGCAGTAAACCTTCTTGGGAATTAATTGTTAGCCTTACCCCTCCAGTCCTCAAACTCTGTCCCAGTTCGTTTCTCCTTGCAATACCCAGCACTTGACACTCTGGGTCACATATGTATATCTTAGAGGAATCAAGCCTCAATCAATTTAGTTGTAATTTATGGCATCATTTTGTCTCTCTCAAGCATTGCCATGGACCAGTGGCCATTCTTGTTTTTGATGTTCAGATGGTCACAGTTGGGCCAGTACAAGTCTCTTTAAACTTGTCATTTTTAAACAATCCTTTCAGATGACTCTAAATCTTTGCTAACTGACAACACGTTGTTCTGGGCCTGTCCTGAATTTTCTTGGCTCAAGGCAGGTCAGGTCACCCACTCTCTGTGAAACCCTGGTTCCTTTACTAGGTAATAGCGTTGAAATCCAGAATCGGCATGCGTGAGGTTCAGTAGAATTAAAGTGACATATCAGCTGCTTGCCATTTGAGTGAAGGAGCAGAAGAGTATATTTATTTATAAGGGCCTGTGTTTAGGTTCATATTTTTTCATTTAGCTCTAATATTACTGTACTTTCTTATTTTAATATAGTAATTTTAATTTTAATTTTTTTTTATTTTTGGAGGAAAAACTAAACCTTATTTATTTTTTAAGACTGAAACACTTGGACAATGTGCACAGCCTTGAGACACCAAACATAGGCTATATTATCGTTTCAAGTAATAAGCTGGGTAAAAAGAAAATAAGGTCTTTATCAAAATGATAAGGTGCTAGAGCTAGGGCAGGAACACTGCTTGCTACAAAGGCCCGAGGCAAAAGTGGTATTTGGTAAAGGGGGGGCGGGTTGCTCCTCTTTTGTTCTAAAGGAATCATAGTGGGCGCCTGGTGGCTCAGTTGGTTAAGCGACTGCCTTCGGCTCAGGTCATGATCCTGGAGTCCCAGGATCGAGTCCCACATCGGGCTCCCTGCTCAGCAAGGAGTCTGCTTCTCCCTCTGACCCTCCCCCCTCTCATGTGCTCTCTCTCTCTCTCTCTCATTCTCGCTCTCTCAAATAAATAAATAAAATCTTAAAAAAAAATAAATAAAGGAATCATAGCTCAGCCCTGAGTTGCTTACTTTTTCTCCTTTGACCTTCCTGTTGCCCAGGGATTGTCTCAATAGGGCTGTGTTATTTCAGGGGGCTAACTAGGTAATACTGAGTTTAGGCTTTCATTCCATCCTGTTCGATAAAAACAGATTTTTTTTTTCCCAAATCCAGTACTTAATAACTCTCTTAATTAAGAAGACATCAATTCATCCTTCAATGTTCATTCCTGGATACTGGTATATAGTGCAATCGAAGCCCCCTTGCCCTTTAAGGGAGGGTGTCACTGCAAGATTGTCCAGTGGCTCTGCTGCAGAGAGCTTCGGGGCCCATCATGGCAGCCAGGGAGAGAGGAGGGCTGCTTCCCACACCGAGTGGAGCATCACCTCTCGTGTATTTGCAGGGTCTCCCAGTTGGGAGATGTAATGTGTATTTCAAGAAACGCATATCCACATCTTCCTGGCCAGAAACAGATATCCACAAGGAAGTGTTCAAAATTCTTATCCAAACTACCTCTCCCAACTCCACATCTTAAAAATCAGCTTCAGGCCCTTGTATATAAAACAAAACCAAGCAAAACAAAGATCCAGAAACCTTTTTTTTCACCCCCTTCTAAATTAGTGACCTCCTGGATTTTGTTTTACAGCTTATGGAAAATGATTTGGTGATCCTTCCGGTAAACAGGAGTTTGGCAACAGACAGAAATACCTCTGCTCACACTAACACAGTGCTTTTTAAAATGTATTTTTCTTTTCTTTGAGCTACCTACGCTTCTGTTTTCTCTCACATAGCATTTCGTTGAAATAAAGTATGAATAAATTTTTATCTTAAATCATGTCTTTATATTACAGTGTTATTTAAAAGTTATGTAAATTTGAATTTTCTAAAACAATTGGGTTTTTTACCAAAAACATTTCAAAAAATAATCATTGTAATATGTTACTTATTCTACCACGTTGTGAGAAAACATAATAGTTTTATAATTTGGCATGAATACACAGGTAGAAGGCCATTGGGATGCAATGATTCATAATCTTTTTTTTTTACCTTCAATCCAAAGATCCTAAAATTTCTTACAGTGTGTCGACCCATGATTTTCCTTGTTTGCCATTATCTGACTATGTTACAAGTTGTGAACAATAAAAAGAAATTCTGATTTTCCTACATAGGGTCAGTCAGGGGATATGGGAACACAGGACTGCCGGCATTTTGGATTGTGATAAATATGCCCTTTGACATTTTATTTAATACCTATTACATTTGAATATTTACTAGTATCATTATTCATCTTTAGTCATGGTAGTTTTATTGTTGAATGTGTAGTATCTTAGAATTTTTGAAAATATAAAAATATATATGCATCACCTCAGTATTTACCAGTCCAGTTTACTAAAAGCCAATTAGGAATGTCAGAAGAGACAACCAGATTATTATCACAATAGAGTAAAATTAGAAGTGATCAAAGAATGGTGTTAAATGTTTATGCTTGTTAAAGCTTTTCTCAAAAAGTTAACAAGAATGACTTCTGGGGATTCATATACTTTTTATAATATTGCCTCAGTTCCGCAAGAGTTAGTTCAGAAAAGACATTAGCATTTTTGAGTCCTGACATTGTACCATGATATTTTATGTTTCTGGTACCTCCATATATTGCCAAATACCAGTCTATCCAATGCCAAGGCAAAATGAGAAAGGAGCCTGATATTTTTCATGCTCCACAGTGGCATCGAACTCGGGGTGCAGGATGACATCCAGGGTGCCAAGCATGTTGTCTTGATGCCTGTAAAGACCCCACCAGTATTTTAAATTGACTACTAATTTGTAGATCAAGTTTGCCTTGTTGCCTTTGCCTTATCTCTTACTCTCATGTTAATTATTATTTCAGATTAAGAGGATGTAGAAATTGAGGTAGGTTCCAATTCTCTGTGACCTATTAAGACTAATAATGACACTCATAGCCTTCATACGTTTTCATATAGCTTACTGAGCTCTTCCATTTCCTCCTAGCCAATACGATGGTGCTATTAATTAGGGGTCTGAAGTCTTTTTTTTTTTTTTAAAGATTTTATTTATTTATTTGAGAGAGAGCGTGAGAGACAGAGAGAGAGCACATGGGGGGGGAGGGTCAGAGGGAGAAGCAGACTCCCTGCTGAGCAGGGAGCCCGATGTGGGACTCGATCCCGGGACTCCGGGATCATGACCTGAGCCGAAGGCAGTCGGCTAACCAACTGAGCCACCCAGGCGCCCAGGGGTCTGAAGTCTTGAAGCTGAAAGCCCCCACAGACACACTGATAACAATATTGACTTAATTAGATTCCCATCCATAATTTCTTTACCCAGTGTCAGAGGGGTCCCTTACCCCTTCTCCCCACTTCTACCGCCCACCAGGGATATGGTTCAAATATAGCTAACATGACCCCCCCTTTTTTTAAGATTTTATTTATTCATTTGAGAGAAAGACAGAGAGTGCACAAGCAGGGGGAACGGCCCGCAGAGGGAGTGGGAGAAGCAGACTCCATGCTGAGCAGGGAGTCTGACCTGGGTCTCCATCCCAGGACCCTGGGATCATAACCCAAGTCGATATTATTTTAAAGATTTTTTTTTTATTATTTATTTATTCATGAGAGACAGACAGAGAGAGAGGCAGAGGGAGAAGCAGGCTCCCAAAGAGCAGGGAGCCTGATACGGGACTCGATCCCAGGACCCTGGGATCATGACCTGAGCCGAAGGCAGACGCTTAACCATCTGAGCCACCCAGGCACCCCTTAAAGAAAGACCCCTTAAAGAAAACCTACATCTTTCTACAGAAAATCTTGCTTGTCTCTGACAGTGCACATTCATTTTGCTCCAGACAGCTGCATAGATGATTATCATATGCGTAGTATCCTAATTTATTACTTCCTAGTAGAGTAGCCATTTTGCATTTCAGATCCCATGGACATAAGGGCCTGGGGGAATTCGGATAAAGTGCAAGAGAAAATTAAAGCTTGGGCAGAATAGCAATTATTAGAATAATGGGATTTTGAGAGCCACACTGGAAAAGGAAAAGCCTAAAACTACTTAATTTCAAATAATCGTAGGATCTTTTTTTGTTTGTTTCAAATAATCGCAGGATCTTAAATCACATCTCTCAAGCCCCAATTTAGCTTCACATTTAGGATTTCCTAGATATTCAGTAACTACGTCTCTCTTTTATGTCTTGGTGCCTACATAATTAGCCTTAATCTTGCCCGCCATGTGGGTAAATAAGATTTCTCATTTATTCACTCTGCCAGCTTGTGGTGCTTTCCCCAATGAATGATCTGTGTTCTAACCAAGTCAGTAGCGGGGCTGCACGGCTGCCCTGTGAGCTACCAAACACACACACAAACACAACCACTAACAATGAAGTCTCTTCCTTCCTTTATTTTGTGGGGCCCCTTCCCGTTGAGCAGTACCTGCTAACTGATTTCCTTGCTCCCTGTTTGCAGATACTTCACTTCAACCCAGCCTCAGGATGGGGAAGCTCTTCTCAGGCTCAGGTAAAGACAACACGTTCTTTTAGGGAAAGGGAGTGTGAGACTAAATTTAGAGAGATTACTATCGCACCAATGTATTTAATTATGCTTACTATCCTTTCAAAGCAAAGGAATATGTCTCACTCAGATTTCCATCTTGTGGCATCTCAAGGACAAATTTTGGTAATTTCTTTGTTAATTATTAATGTACCAATATTTTACTTGTGCGTTGGCCAGATTTTGGCAAGATAGTTTGGAACTAAATGTTTTGCTTTTATCCTTTGGTATTCACAGCCAACTTATATTGGTAAAACGAATTATTTAGTATACACGTGAGGCATATTCATTATCTGCTGTTAATAATTTTATTCTAAGGTTAATTATTTTAGTGAAATTTGTAATTAACTTTGATCACAGATACTATTATGAGAAATTGTAAATAGAGGGGACATTGCTGCTTTTACTAGCATCATTATTTTCCAGTTCTTTCATGGTATAATATACATGTTTTATTTCATGTGTAAATAAGACTGCAGATATATTTGCAGTCCTGTAATACATTTTTATAAATCTTTTTAATAACAGCCAGGACTTCAGTCTCAACTGAAAAGAGTTCTCTCTGATATAAACACATCGCATAGGGATTACGAACTCCACATTGCCAATGGTCTTTTTGCAGAAAAAGTATTTGACCTTCATAAGGTAAGTGTGGCCTCCCCTGTCACAGGTTATTTCCACTCTGGACCCTAGTCTTGTTCAATCCATCATCTGCAAAAAGGCTTGTGTCTTTTCTACAGAGCGATACAACGGTGATTCGTTTTTCTTATAGCTGCTAATTGTGTTGCCAGATGTCTCCAGAATTTCATCTCCCTGTTTCTAGAGTACAGCTTTACTTGAGCTGAGTGATCCCCACATTCAGGGTCCCCAGACTGAGAGGCTCCAAAGCAGAGGAGACCGTGTCCTCTGGCAGTGGTGCGGGGCTGTAATGGGGCAGGAGGAGAAGACGGCTCGTTTAGGGTTGTCCCTGGGCAGCAGAGGAAAAAGTCTCCCCACTTTTCCCCTGAGCTTTGTGTCTCCTGGGATCGTTGTGGATCCCCAGGGCTGAGTTCATCTCCTCTGTTCCCAGCCATGCCCTTTCATCTCTTCTGCCAACAGTAATTTTGCGGTGAGGTCACTTACGGAAGAGCCCCTTGTAGGGGACATAGGCAGATACGGCCAGCCACTGGCAGAGGGCCAGCTCAGGCTGAACAGAAGGCGGGGGACTGGTTCCCTCGAGGTCAGCAGGCAAAGTTTTCATGTTCCTGTGCACTGTCTGTGTTATCAGTTCATTCACCATGGCTTCCTGCTCACCCAAAGACCAGTGAGACCCAGACTACACCCTATATGCTCCTGGGCTCAACCCATGCTTTAGAGCCCACTGTCTCTATGACAACCGGATGCTGGTTGGTGCAGTGGCCATGATTTTCTGGGCATGTTTGTTCTCCCTTGTAATTCTCGACTTGTCAGACAACCATAAAGCTTTGCTTCCGTGACATCTCTGGGCTAATCTCCACTTGCATCTTTGTCAGCTGTCTGTGTTCCACCCAACCATTATTGTCTCCTCTGTCTGTCACCCACACAGATTCTTTGCCCCTTCCAACACTGCGCCTAAGCCCTTTGGCAGCCTGCCAAGTATGAAGCATTAGGCCACTTTGTTTTTTTTAACCTTTCCAAAAGAATCCTACACAGGCTTCCCAGGGGCCACCTTGTATGTTCAACTCCACATTTTGTGTCTGTTTTCCCACACATACTGCGGACTCCCTGAGGGACTGCTAACCCTTTTAACCCGGAAGTTGATGTGTCTATCATGTTACTATTTATAGCACATTTCCATGTTCCTTTATCTGGCACTCAGTGTATGCACCCAGCACAGGAGAGGTGAGATCTGATCACCAACATGGAAAATAGACACTGCTATTTTTTTCCTCCCAAACATTTACAAACACAGTTAGTTATTCTAAAAACTACTTTTGATTAAAAGTGTAACTGTTGTCGACTTTCAGTTGTCAGATCAGTACAAAGATAGATCATCTCCAAATTTTCTACATTTTGTTATGTAACAGTTTTTTACTCATATTTGAATATGGATGAGTCTATTTGAATTGATGAAGATAATAATGTATAAATTGTCTTTACAAAAAGTATATAGAAGACCCAGCCGCCATCTCGGATACCTTCTCCACCCACCTCCCGAATCTGTGCTCAATCTGTCTTGGTCAGACCTCTGTGAATGTCAGTCCATATTGCCCCAAGCTCTGCCACCATTTAGGGTGACTTCAGTGTCCCTGTGACAGCCAGCTGTGAGCTCAGGTTCCCTCCTTACAGTCTCCTGACCCTCTCTCCCTATACCATTACAGTAACAATGCCCAAGCCACACCCTGAAACTCATCAACGCCCAGAACTGTTCCACTCCTGAAATGTATGACTGGACTTGCCCCGTCAATGGCTGCATCATTCTGTGCTTCTCGTTCTTTCATTATTTCAGCCCCACTCTACCTGTTCTTCAACTGCATCGAGTTATGCAATTTTTCCATCTTTCCATCATCTCTCAACTTATCAGCTCTCCCTTTCCCCCAGCAAAACCCCACCCAGATCAGTCCCATGACTTCCCTCGGCAGCTGTGCTTCGGCCACTAGGCCACGCTTGTGCCAAGCCTCAGCGTGTGTGGTCTCCACCACCACACCACGGGCTCCCAGCCCCACTAGGTGTCCTCCATGCTGTCCAGCAGTCAGCTGGGGGCTCACAGTAATTTCTCTCATTCCTCACACCAGTTACTGAAAGCTCTTCTGCTTCTCTCAATTTCCCAGCAACCCCTTATTGCCACCATCAGTTTCAACTAGGTCTGTGCCAGGAGCTCTAGGTCTCTGCTGCCTTAGATTTGTCTAGTTGGTCCTGGAGCAGGAGAAGGGCCCAGGGCCGTGGGAGCCCAGGTGAGGACTGGAAGCCATGGGATTTAGTGGGAATGTCTCTGGGTTTTCTTCAGTGCACATCCTGCTTCCCCTGGCCATCAGAATCCTGACAGTAACAGGGCGTTAGCCTCTGCCTTCGGGTGGGGTGGGTGGGTGGATGTCTGGGTCATCTGGGATAGACCGAGACCTCAGGGTGACACCCCTGTGCTCCTCAGAACTGCTGCTCTCGGCTCCTGGGGTGGCTGGCCAGGGGAAGGGCCCGCTTGCACACCTACTGCTCTCCATCCTGCCAAGACCAAACGCTGGAACTTAGTCCTAAATTTTACACCCATTTGTCCTGTTCACCTCAAAAATAGAATTTCCTTACTTGGCACAAGCGCTTTCAACTTTCAAACTTCTTCTTTTTTTAAATAAGAACTTACTTTAATAGTGAAACGGAAATACATGTTGTAATATACACAAGATGAATATTTTAGTTCTGGATAGGCCATTTGATCTTCTTAAAATTAATGGAAGAATTTTCAAGTGACAAAGCAACAGTGTGTCTCTTAAAGATGAATACATTATATAAGTTCATAGAACGAATTGTATATAGAGAAAAAAACTGGACTTGAGTTGTCTTATGTTCCAGCTTCTCTTCTATAGGTAAAAGCACATCTGCCTCAGAATAATGCCTTTTCTTACTTAAGCAATAAATTCCCATGTCCACTTGTCTTCTACTTGACAAAGAAAATAGAGACCATTGGGGCGGATCCATATCCCAACTTACACCCGGCTCCCTTTTCCCTTCAATTTCAGAGGCAACACTTTGTTTAATGGATAATTCCTCCTTTTCTTCTTGCCACCTCACCCCCTCCCCTGCTCCCAGTTTCTTGGTGATGTCTCCGTCACTATTTTTCCTGAACTTCTATCACTCTGCTGTCTTCTTCTTCATCGCATATAAATGTGCTCCAGATAACATACCTTCTAAATTTTTCTCTCCTTTTTTTTAAAAGTTACCCCATGATTCTCTTCCCATTTCTGTGTTTCTCACTCTGACAGTCTAAACTTGAAAAATCAAGCTTCTTCAGAGAGTGATATGTATAGGCAGGATCCACTTTTTCACCCTCTCTCACTGCTCCATCTATTGCAAACTAGCTTCTACCTTCCACGCTGTCCTGAAGCTGCTCCTACCAAGGTGACTAATGGCTTCCAGTGGACACCAAGCTATGGGCACTTTGCAGTTTGGGTCTTACCTGCCTCTTTAGTATTCAACACTAACTGGGGCTCCCTGAAACTTTCTCCTCTCATGGTTTCTATGGCATTGAGTTCTCCTGGTTTTCTACCTTCTCCTTCATTTCAGTTTCCTTTGTTTATCTTTATTCCTCCACTCATCTCTGAAATACTGGTGTTCTTTAGGGTTCCGCCCTCTGGCCTCTTCCACTTTGAGCCTACTGTCTCACCCAAGGAGAGATGATCTACTTAGAAAGTTTATAGTTCCTTGATGTTGTCCTCCATACCTCCACAGCTCTCTGTGGTTGTGTGATGAGTCATTCCTTGCCCTCAGTGTCATGCTCATCTCTCTGCCTGCCTACTTACTGCCAGTCCCCGGGTGGGCATCGACAGGTTCTTCAACACACCATCTCTCCTGTCCCCACACATTCTCTTTCCCCTGGGTTCTCTTTCAGTGAATGACCTACCAGGTATTTTGATCAACTTTGACATCTCCCTTTCCCAGAGCTTCACAGTCCATCAGTGAAGAAGACCTAATAGATTTTCCTTCTACTTTCAAAGAAAAGTTATTTTGAAATAATTTCAAACTCACATAGAAGTTCCAAGTATTATAGAGAGAACACTTTTCCCCTGAACCATTTGAGATGCTTTATCATATTTGGATACTTCCATGTAATTCCTATAAACAATGACATTCTTCTACATAGTCATGATACAACCATCAAGATCAGGAAGTTAACAGTGTGCATTACTTCAGCTCATCTTCAGATCCTTTTGAGTTTAACCAGTCAGCCCAACATCATCCCTCATAGCAAAGGACTTAGTTCAGAATCATGCATTATATTCTGTTGTTGACTCACTTTTAGTCTCCTTAAATTTGGAACATTTCATAGCCTGTCTTGATTTTCATGATCTTGACACTTTGATAATTATTCACAGTGTCCAGTTTTAGGCCAGTTATATTTTAGAACGCCCTTCAGTATGGGTTTGTTTGATGTGTCTTCATGATTAGAGTTCTGTTTTCTCCCAGCTTTACTGCAATATGATGAATATGTAATATAAGTTTAAGGTGTACAACATGTCGATTTGATACACTTATATATTATGCAAGGATTATCACCATAGCATTAGCTAACACTTGCACCAGGTTTGAGGGAAACATCCAGGTGTTTTTTTTCGTTGTGTTATCCCTGTGGCACGCTAGCAGGATTCTGATTTATCCCATTGCTTATCTTGCCATCTTTGGTCACGTGATTACAGGGATGTCTGCTGGCTTTCTCTGTTTTGAAGTTACTCTTCTTCCCTTTGTTGTTAAGTATTTTGTGAGGAGCTGCTTTCAGGCTGTGTAAATATCTCATTCTTGATAAAACATATTTGTTTATTTATGATAATATTGTTTATTTATAACAATCTGGTGTCCTGTTTTCGCCAAAGGGTTATAATCCATCATATTACTTTCATGCTCAAATTATCCCTTCTATTGGCATCTGGGTTTGTTTGACATGCCCCCCTCATTTGAGCACTTTCTTTCTGGCACCATGAGATGTTCCAGTCGCATCTTCTTTTCCTGCCTCAGCCCTAGAATCAGCCATTTCTCCAGGAGCCTTAGTTCCTTTTTAGGAAAATACATGCATATATTAAATCAATGTTCATTTTTTTCCTAAATCTAGTGAAACCCACGAGTTCATACTGATATCTACAATTTCCATCAAACACCACAGGGTTCATTTCTTTTGTTTTGTTTTCTCTCTTTCTGTGTTTGTTTAACTCCCTTCTCCAACAGTGAGAAACCTGGCTGCCATTACTCTTACATATTTACTTGTTTAACCAATCTCCCTCTATGTAACCCATTTCCCATCACTGATGCTGTTGCCCCTCCAAGTGGGGAAACACCTTCTTCATCCCATGCGAGATCTGCCCCTCCATGCTAGGCTGCCTCTCCATGAATATACCTCTTCCCTCCACTTAGTCCCCCACATCCCATGGTGGTCTGCCCACCACAGAGATGTTCCTCTCACTTTTTTGGGCTTTGACCCCTACAGGGATGTTTACCTCACACTGTTTAGGATCTAACATCTGCATGAGGCCACCCCTCCTCAGGGATGCCTCTGGATTCTGCCTACGCTTGAATTCCAGAGCTGGGCTTCCCTGACAAGGCAATGTGTTCTTTGTCTCCTTTGGCCACTAATACTTTGTGTTGAATTGCTCCTCACCGGGATGGGGCTCTGCCATCCAGCTCTGCCACACTGGTCCTCCCCACACTGAGATGTATACCTACCTAGATTTGCCCCTCGTAATGGCTTTGAGTCTGAATTGTTCAAGAAGGAAATGGAAGGCTAGGGGTAAGAAAGAGCTAGTTCTACCTTCTTAGTGTATCTCTAAAGTTTGTTTTGTCCTCCCCATGGCCCTGGAAACTTCCAGTGCCTCAGTTCAGGACTTCTTTATATCCCTCAGGATAAACTATAAGGACATTTTAATAAGTCCCTCTATCTCCAGTCAGTTTTCTTTTCTATGCTGATTTCAGAGTCCCCTTTATGAAATGCCCATTTAATTATATTACTCCCCTTTTTAAATCCTTTTAATAACTCTCCCTAAAATAAAACGAAAGCTCCTTGTCAAGGGAAACAAGGCACTCATGCTCTTCCTCTCTCCTGGCTCATGTTCTCCATTTCCCCCTTTCACTACATGCTTCAGTCATCACAAATTCCTGCTGGTCTCCTGAGTGTGCAAAGATCCTCTTACTCCTCTGAGGGTACTACTACTTGGAGGGCTCGCCTTTGCTGCTCATCCTCTTCAACTTGACTTCTTTCTTTTTTTTCTTTCAAACGCAGGCCAGGTCCAGGGGCTTGAGCTTTATCTTAAGTACAAGAAGTAGCCCGGAAGCCTTCTTAATGCTTTCAGTAGGAAGGGGTGACACAAGCAAGGGAGATGAGCGAGGACACTGTTGAAGTATTTATGGTGAGAAAGCAGTGGTAAAGCCAAGGGAGTGGGCTTTAGCTGTAATCCCTGTTAGCCTCCCCTAATCCACTTCAGATAAACTTAGGTTCAGATAGTGTGTTTGCTGTGCAAATTCAGTTTCGGGTTCTCCAGCAACCCATCCAGCCATATTTCATATTTCTAGCCATATTTCCTCATCTTTGAGTGAGGAAGGAGTCCTTGAGTAAGATGGCGAAAATGATGAGTAAGATGGCGAAAATGAAGAGACAAGTTCAAAACCAGAATTGTTATATGCTTAGTTGATGGTGACTTGTGACTATAAGAACTGTGTATTACTTATAGAATTGTAATTATTTATATTTATAGAACTATATTGAGTGTGCTGAAAAATTATACAATGCCAAAGTGGAACGAGTTGACTTCACAAATGATATAGAAGATACCAGATATAAAATTAATAAATGGATTGAAAATGAAACACATGGTGAGTGCAACCCTATTTTTCTACAAGATTTGTCAGTGATATATGAATACTGAGAATGGTCAACCTTAAAGCTAGACATCTTTTGTAAGACATGCAAGGAAAATTTCCCCCTAATCCAAAGTAATGATGCTGCTATTGAATATTTCTCATGCACTGTTGGTGGTAAGGCAAATTGGTGCAGCCACTGTGGGAAAGATAATGGAGGTTCTTCAAAAAATTAAAAACAGAATTATCAATATGATCCAGTAATGCCACTTCTGGGTATTTATCCAAAGGAAATGAAAAAACACTAATTTGAAAATATATATGTACGCCTGTGGTTATTATATCATTATTTGCAGTGGCCAAGATGTGGAAGCAACCCATATGTCCCTCAGTAGATTAATGGATAAAGAAGATGTGATATATATCTCTATACCTAGATAGATAGATAGATAGATAGATAGATAGATAGATAGATAGACAGACAGATAGGAATATTACTCAGCCATAAAAGAGATGAGATCTTACCATTTGCAACAATGTGGATGGACCTAGAGGGTATAATGCTAAGTGAAATAAGTCAGAGAAAGACAAATATTATTTCATTCATGTGTGGAATTTAAGAAACAAAACAAAGAAAAAAAGAGGCAAGCAAAAAACCAACTTTTTTTTTTAAAAGATTTTATTTATTTGTCAGAGAGAGAGAGGGAACACAAGCAGGGGGAGTGCAAGAGGGAGAAGCAGACTCCCCGCTGAGCAAGGAGCCCGATGTGGGGCTCGATCCCAGGACCCTGGGATCATGACCTGAGCCAAAGGCAGATGCTTAACCAACTGAGCCACCCAGGCGCCCACAAAAATCCAACTTTTAAATACAGAGAAGAAACAGGTGGTTACCAGAGGGGAGGTGGTTTGCGGGATGGGTGAAAGAGGTGAAGGGGATGAAGAGTACACTGACCTTGATGAGCACCAAGTAATGTATAGAATTGTTGGATTATTATATTGTACACCTGAAACTTAATATAACACTGTATGTTAATTATACTTCAATTAAAAAAAAAACCAAATAGTGGTTACTAGAGGTTGGGGGTTTGTGTGTGAAGGGAAGTTGTTCAATGCATTTAGAGTTTCAGTTTTGTGAGACGAAATAAGTTCTGAAGACGTGATATACAACAAGGCATGTATAGTTAATACAACTAACCTGTTAAGATGGTAAATTTGATGTTATGATTTTTAATCACATTAAAAAATGGGGAGCAAAAATTCCTCACAATCCTAGCACCTCAACAAATCACTGCTTCCTTTTCCCATTTTCTATTCTAGTCCTCGGCTTTATGCACAAAGAATAAATTGACCTAGTTATGTTTGGAGTCTACGTTCAGATCTGTGTCTATATTTTTTTTTCTTCACATTCTATCTCCCACGTATTTACAGACTACTTTGCAATTTTCATGACTATTTAATTCCATAGACCAAGTATGAAATAAAGAATGTAAACATTCTTTAATTAATGTAAAAAAAACTTAATAGTTTTTTATATTTATTATATGGCGGAATGATAATATTTGGGATATATTGGTTACACCAAATAAATTACTAAATATAAAAAGAAAGAAAAATTGCTTTAGTATTTGTCTACAATGTGGTTCTGAGTAATCTTAATAATTTGAATGCTTTATACTTTTCAGAAATCTTACCTATTACATTATCTCATTGGATTGGGAAATAATCCTATGAAACAAATATTGATTTCATTATGACCATTTCATAAATTACTATGTGGGAAATATATTTTATATCATTGCTTCTTCTAAAAGATGGATTCTTTGTCTTTCATTTAAAACCCTCTTCATTTAGCAAAATAATGTATGTGGCAAAAGTGGTACCTTCCAGAAAAAGTGCATTGCTTTATTGTTAAGTGTTTTTCACATAGCTAAAACCGAATTCCAGCAGATGTTCTGGTTGAGTTCAAAACAAATAAGGAAATGTATTCATTGCTATTTTGTTGATCAGTTGCTTCCAAACCTAGTCATTTCTTTACTTAGGGCTTGACCTGGATTTATACTCTGAACAATATACCTGTATTTGCTGAGTCTGGTTCTGTCTCAAAAGTATGAAACATGTGACTTGCAAACATTCAGCATACTACAGCTAGTCCTGGGAATAAGAATACAGTGTCTCAGTTTTCTTTTTGTTTGTTCATTCATCATTACTTCAGTAGAGGGTTATTTTGACCATCATCATTACTTCAGTAGAGGGTTATTTTGACCATTAGCCACCACATGTTTCAAATGTACTATTCACAAACCAAGGGGAACTATGCAATTGCTTTTCCTAATAACTGAATGGAATTCTATTTAGTGTGTAGTTTTCAAGGGTATCAGATTGCTAATACCTTTTTCCATCTGGACCAATTACTTATTTCTCTTCCTTCTTTCTTCATGCAAATATATCTTAAAATTATTCTTATTTTGATAAGCATTTGTTCTCAATGCTCATTTGGGGGGAACACCTCAAAATACTGCCAACATTCCAACAAACCCACCCAGGTCTTATCACCCCTTCCCCATCCTCCACACACTACCAAGTCCTTTTAAAAGGACTTTTAAAAGGTACATCTGACCCATCATGGCCATGTCCTTTCTTATCTTCCAATGAATCCTGAACAATCATTTTCCATTGCCTTCAGGATAACCCAAAATTATTACCAGACTTTCAAGGCTCTTCATTTTCGGCCCCTGCTTCTAACCTTTCCAACCCTACTTTCCGTACACATCAGAATGAGTTAGGGTTTCCCCGAATACGCTGTGCTTGTCCAAGCTTCCATGTGTTTGGGTAAACAGCCTCTGCTATATGCAGCTTCTCTCTGCCTCCCACCTTGCAGAGGGCCAAGCCAGAGATGGTGCCGCTCATCTGTGCTTCCACAGCACACTCAGCACGTGGCTGTGGTACCAGTGTGTACAGCTGCTCCCCGGTGCTGGACCGTGAGCCCAATGATGGCATGGACTGTTCTTTCATGGTTGTGATTCAAATCTCGAGAATAGGGTTGACATCCAGCAAAAATCTTGTTCATGTGGAAGGAAGGAGGTAATTAGCCCAACAGAATGGAGTTAAATTCCATCTGGAGTGCTGTGGCCTCGTCAAAGCAGGAAAGGTATTTTGGTGCTTACCAGCAAGAGGGGGCTTTGGGAATTGTCTTTCCGGGTCAGAATCCTGGTGCCCTAACTTTCTTGTTGTGTGATGTTGTACAGATTACTTCACCTCTCTGAGTTCCAGCTTCCTCAACAAGAAAGTGCCTGCCTCACAGAGATTTTGTGAGGATTAAACCAAATATTGCACATAAAGTGTTCAGAGAGTACTGGACGGAGCAATTGCTCATGGGTTATTACTAATATCATTGTATTATAATTATGTCATAAGGAGAAATATCATGTTCACCTTGTCTTTTTAAAAATTACATTAACAGGGCACCTGGGTGGCTCAGTTGGTTAAGCGTCCGCCTCTTGATTTTGGCTCAGATTGTGATCTTAGGGCGGTGAGATCGAGCCCACAACGGGGGTCCATGTTCAGTGGAGACTCTGCTTGAGATTCTCTCTGCCTCTGCCTCTGCCCCTCCCCCTGCTCTCTCTCCCTCTCTCAAGTAAATAAATAAATCTAAAAAAATAAAAATAAAAAATTACATTAAAATTTCACGTTTTTTTCTCCATTTATTTTTCAAAAGGCAAAATCAAGAGCATCCTTCAAGCAGGCGTAAGCTCTTCGGCTGTGATGGTGCTGGTGAATGCTGTGTACTTCAAAGGCAAGTGGGAGTTGGCCTTCACCAAGAATGAAACTGTAAATTGCCATTTCAAATCTCCCAAGGTATGGAAATCTTTTTAAGAAGTTTTTTTTTTTTTTTTTGCGGGGGGTCTGGGTGGCTCAGTCGGTTAAGCGTCTGCCTTTGGCTCAGGTCATGATCTCAGGGTCAGGGTCCTGGGACTGAACTCCACATATAGCAGAGAGCTCAGCGGGGAGTCTGTTTCTCCCTCTTACTCTCCCTCTGTGCTCTCTCAATCAAGTGCATAATAAAATCTTACAAAAGAAGTGTTTTTTTTTTTGTCATAGTATTCTTTCGCAGAAATTATGGAATTTACATAGACAAATGATGGATTCATCATTTCTTTACTTATTTCTTCTATTGCTTACCAACACCATATGGTGAATTGTTTATAAAACAACCTATTTTCCTGATAATGCAGGTTATGGTACACTACTGGAGGTGTCCCATAAATTGATATTTCTTGGAATATATTCAAATTTGAGAAAGACAATAACGTATGAATTCATTTTAAGATATTCTAGTTGGATGCCTATAAGAAGAAAATATGACAAAAGTATGCTTTTCATTTTTTGTGATTCTAACTGTGGGGTATATAGTTCCAGTAATTTAATATCAATGATTTTTCCTGAGTCAAAGCAAGGATGTGTTTCCTTTTACAAAGGAAGAAATTATGTTTAGTCAAGTTATGCATTCCCAAGTGTCAGTCTTAACCAACTTTTGTAAAACATATTCTTGTGTGTGTGTGTTTTACCAATTTGTACACAATAATCTTAGAGGATAGTAGAAACATCAAAGGCTTTGGAGTCAGCAGTACTGTGTTGGGGTTCTTGCCTTGCTTCAATGCCAATCTGCATTGTCTTAGGCAAGTTAGCTCAACCACCGTAGACCTTCCCATCCTCACAAATGAGGCGATTCCAGTAACTGACTTCTAAAGTTTCTTTCAATCACTCAGCCTTTTGTGTTGAGACAGAGAAACTCAGGTTAAACTTTTAAACTTAGTTTTATTTATTGAAATGTTCTTTCTGCATTTTTCCACATCAGAAGTTTTAGGCATAGGAGTGCTGAGAGCTGGTAGAAATCAAAGGTCACTGAATGAATGATAAACATTGCTATGAATACTATAGATTTTTTTTCTATCATCAGAAGTAAAATACAGACCAGTACTATCAAAATCACACAATTTAAGAATGAGGTATTATAAAAATAAAAAATCTATAGCATTCATTTTTAGTTATAATGCTATTTAATAATTATTTGTTACTATATAGACATTTTCAGATAAAATTCTAAGTGCAAAGCAATGTACCAAGTGCTAGGTATGTTAACTCACATAATCTTTACAGCAGTCCTATGCAGTAGAGACTAGTTTTACCTCCATTATATTGATGAAGGAATGGAGGCACAGAGAAGTAAAGTAAATTGCCCAAAGTTGCACAGCTGGAAGTTTTAAACTCAGGTAGTTAATCTCAAAGTCTGTGCTTGTATCCCTAAGCTATGAACCATTGCAACCACTCTTGGCAGCAAGTCAGGAAAAATCTACAGGATCAACTGGACAAAAACTGAAGCACTATTCTTATAAAGTGAAATAAGATGGGCTAATAAAAATTTTTTTGTGACTTGACTTGCAGTGTCCCGGGAAAGCAGTCGCCATGATGCATCAAGAACAGAAGTTCAATTTTTCTGTCATTAGAGACCCGTCCATGCAGGTTCTTGAGCTCAAGTATCATGGTGGCATAAGCATGTTCATTATGCTGCCTGAAAATGACCTGTCCCAAGTAAGTTGCTACTGCCGCTTTCACTATAGGGGAATTAGAAGATTTTTAGGATATTATTGATTGTGTTTTTATGCATCAACTTTATGATTTCAGGTTATAAGAATTAGAGATTTACCCCCTTATTCATTTATTTGACAAATATTTAAGTGGTACCTACTCTGTGCCAGACACCATTATAGTTACTGAGATTGACTTACTTCAGTTTAATATAATTTTAGTTGAATAGCTATGAAATTGGAACCCTCTCAAACCTCAACCTTGGAGGGAATATGGCACGAATTTAGGTCTTTGCACTTGGCCATGAAAACAGTCTTTCATGTATTATTGGAATTTGGACAGACTAAGTATTTTCAGGCAGGAATGATACTGTGGGGTCTGGAGTCCCGGGCCTTTGCACATTGAAATGTATGGTCTCACTCTGAGCTGCTGTGTCTCTGGGAAAAGCAGAGGTTAGGGACTGCCCTCTGACTAGTGTGGCCGGGACAATAGACCAGCACAGTGCAAGGGCAAAGAATGGTAGCCCTGCAAAGCCAGGGAGCATCACTGTATCTCAGATCCTGATCTTTCAGGCTTGTGAATGTGGCCTCCTGAGCCTGTGTCCTGAAATCCCAGAAGCCTGGATGTCAGGTCCCTCTCTGTAAATGGGATAATAGACACCATCCATTGAGTACCTACTATGTTCCAGGCCATGTACTCTAAGCTGCATTTATGTTATCTCTTTTGATCCATACAGCAGTCACGTGGGACAGGGAAAGGAGGGTCATGGAATTTGATCAATTTGTCTGAAAGATACATACATATGTACAAATATGTGTGTGTGTACACATATATCAGCTGCCCTAAAATGTTACAACTAAAGTTTAAAATATTTTTTTGTGTTTTGGTTAGTAAAATAATGACTGTTGCTTATGAAATAACTGGAAGGTAAAAGGAATATATAGAAATGCTCCTCCTACCTAGAGGCATTACTTCTCTCCATCCTTTTTCTATGATTTAGAAACATGATTTTAGAACTTTGGAAATATAATTTCTAGATGCACAAAATCACAGAATCACTGTAATGATTTTCATTTAGTTCCATTTTAATTACCTTTTTTGACATGAACAGCAAGAAGAATGTCATGAAGTTGCTATTGTTAAACTTAAGTGACAATATAAACTATTGGTACTCATATTAAACCAATAATTCACTTGATAATCTTTATCACAATTAGATTTTAGCATACATCAATTATTTTAACTTCAAATAATCTACAATAACAGAGAAAAGTAGCCCATATAAAATAAACAGCAGATAACTCAAAAGATAGATTTGATCTTTTTTTTTTTTTAAAGATTTTTATTTATTTATTTGACAGAGAGAGAGAGACAGTGACAGAGGGAATACAAGTAGGGGGAGTGAGAGAGGGAGAAGCAGGCTTCCTGCAGAGCACGGAGCCCGATGTGGGCCTCGATCCCAGGACCCTGGGATCACGACCTGAGCCGAAGGCAGATGCTTAACGACTGAGCCACCCAGGCACCCCAAAGATAGATTTGTTCTTATACATATTGTCTAAGTTTTTCTTTTCTGTAAAGATTTTCCTAATAATGTTTGGATCAGATGAGTATAAATGTATATTCCTACTTTATCCTACAGACCTACATAATCCTATGAAACTAAATAATGGGGAAGTTGGCTTTATAGTGAGTTAAATGAGGAAAAAATTCTAATTCAGAATGAGAAGTTATTATAGATTAACCATAAAGTGGATAATTTACACACATAAAATTTAAATTAGACAAAATTTGATTATACAAATTTAGGTCCTTGATAAGGATAGCTGTGAAAAGCTATCTTTAGGATTCCAATGAGACTGAATTTGTGAACAAATACCTACATATAAGATTTGTAAACAATGTGCATGAAAAATCTTCCCTGTATAAGTCTGGATTGTCTCTGATCAATGCTCAGTATTCAGGAATTGGTGAGTTCCATTGTGAATCAGTGGGGGCAGCAGTGATGCTGGAGAGAGAGCTGTGGGTTCCTAGCTATGTAACTGACGTGCCCAGCTATGCAATTCGGCACATTTCCTACAATGTCTTGAGTTTCAGTTGTTGCATGTGTTGAGTAGGAGGGTATATTTGGATCCAAGCCCCCCAGATGGTGTAGGTGACTGTGCTACAAGGTACTAATCACCTAAACCCTGGAGGCTAGAGCTCTGGGCTCCTTGCCTTGGGCCACCTGCGGTTCCATTGGTTATTCCAGCAAGCTATGCAAACATTACCATTTTCTATGTCTTCCATGATGGGAAATGGTCAAGAAATGCTGACTTAAATGACCACTGAGCTCCTTTCTCCTTCTCATGATCTCTGCTACCCTAATTCCTTCACCTGCCCATTGTTCCACTTTGGCTGTATTTGTTCATATGCAGGCAGAGAACAGAAATGCCTTGAAATACAGGTAAGTCACACCTTGTCATAACAGAGCAAATTAACCATGATTTGTGAAAGAGTGCTTGAACTATTTGTGTTAATAACTTCCCATTTTCAGACTCCCCTGGACCCACTGACATACTTACACTCCAATATCCAGGAGAGGATAATTATGAAAAACCATCTATCTTTGTAGTTGGTGTTTTATCTGTCTCTTAAGCATATTGAATTGCCTTTCAATATTCCTACAGATTGAAAACAGACTGACCTTTCAGAATCTAATGGAGTGGACCAATCCAAGAAAAATGAGCTCTCAGTATGTTGAGGTGTTTCTTCCTCAGTTCAAGATAGAGAAGAATTATGAAATCAAACACCACTTAAGAGCCCTAGGGCTGAAAGACATCTTTGATGAATCCAGAGCTGATCTCTCTGGTATAGCTTCAGGAGGCCGTTTATATGTGTCCAAAATGATGCACAAGTCCTATATAGAGGTCACCGAGGAGGGCACAGAGGCCACTGCTGCCACAGGAAATAACATCGTAGAAAAGCAGCTCCCCGAGTCCAGGGTGTTCAGAGCTGATCGCCCCTTTCTCTTCGTCATCAGGAAGGATGACATCATCTTGTTTAGTGGCAAAGTGTCTTGCCCTTGAAAGTCCAGTTGGTTTCTATTATGGTAGTCCATACCACATCAAGGAACCACCACAAGAGAATAGATTTGAGCATAATCAAAGCACATGGTGTTTCCTTTGTGTTTACTTCCTTCTAATATTGGTCGGCAGATGATTTTGGAGACTTGACCCTTTGCAGACACCTGGTTGATGTCCTCACCCTGCTTTGGCCTTTCTACCACTGTGTGCCTCACCTATTTCTAAGTTCATTATCTTTCTGACCCAACTCAACTCATTCCCATCATCCACCCCGCCCACCGTCCCCATAGCCCCTTGCACCCGGAGCTGGGCATCACGTCTGGGAACTGCTGGTAATGACAATGTAGAAGCAGCCCTAGGGTTTTGTCTGAAACTCTCTAGTTATCCCAGTTATTCCAGTTTCATTGAAATGAGCTTGGAAGGAAGCCTAGCTACTAAATGTGGGTGTGAAGGATAACCTTTCCCTGCTGACCTAAGAAGACACTGGAGAGTTTCCTTTCACCCATCTGATTTGAAATCAGTGTCGAATTTAGATGCCAAAAAAATATAGATTTGGGATTGGGGGACAACTAAAATACTTCATTAATAATTTCAAGTTCATGTCTTTCGGGCTTTCCTTGATAGAGATTTTTTTTCCTTGATAGAGACTTAACATGTACATAGTTTTCAAACATTATGTATCTTTGAACTATTGCCATTTGTTATTTACAGTATATATTTCACGTGCTGTATAGTTTATTCTCTATTTATCAAAAATAAATAAATACAACGTGACTGTACAGTGTGATTGTTCTCCTCTGACCAACTGTGAGACTACCAGCACTTTCTTTATTTGCTAGGCCAAGCAAATTAGCAACAAATAAAAAGAATGCTTTTTATTTATAAATCTGATTTGGTTCAATGTTGCTAATTTATTACACATGAAAGTTACTTTTCCAGAGGCATAGGCTGATAAGGTAATTTTAAATAATTTTAAATACTAAGATTTAAGTTCACAAAACAGATAAAAAATAAATTGAGAATCAGTAGACCAAGCTGAACTCACTTAGGATTTTATAAACAGCCCATTGAATTGTGTTTTTATCACAAAAGACTTTCACCTGAATAGGAACTAAATTAATCTGAAGTAGTCTATAGCATGGCACTGTGGTGCATAATACTAGACCTGGCAGCTATTTGATTTTCAGCAGTTGTGGAATTCATGAATATGGCATGAATGAGTTAATGTGACATGATTTGAGAGGTGTAGAAAAGCTTCTGACCAAAATAATTTAATTGCTCACCTGCCATGCCTGAAATAACTATTAATGTCTTTCAGAGACCTTTGTTGGGGTGGGGTGGGGGGGAGTGAAATTAACCAGTATGCAGTGGTATGTCTCTCTCTCTCTCTCTCTCTCTCTATATATATATATATTTTTTTTTTTTTTTTAAAGAACTTATTTTTCTGATTAACTCCATTCCCACCTATTGCCATTCAAAAATGACATACTTCTAGACTCTGTCCTTAGGTGGTAAAGATACAAGAAGCGGGTCCAGGAGCATGCATTCTGATGGCTGCCATGCTGTTCAGAATCATGGACACTTTTGTCTGCTGGTAGGATTTTCTGGGCAGCCATGGTGGGACTCACAGCTGCTGAGGTTTGAAGAAAGCATCCAGGAGAGTGAGAGTCAGGTCTGTGAGGAAATCATATGGAAAAACTGGTGCGAGCTTTCCCTACAACTTGGTTGGTCCTGCCCATCCATATGTCCACCTCATGGTTAGGGCCCCAGCTCATGCAGAGAAGGGCTACCTTGTCCAGTCATGATCTAGGCTTCATCTGGTGTCACTTCCACAAACCTGAAACAGCTTCGGAAACTGCGGCAATTGTGGAAGCATGATGTTTCCTGTGAACGTTGTCAGTACACCTCGGGCTCAGTGACAGCAAAAGTAACGCTGTTGAACCTGTCTTAGCATTGAGCTTCCTGCTTCTTGGGGCAGGAGCTGTGACTGATTTGTTTTGTACCCCAACATCCCTAGAACAGTACTTAACATATAGTGGATCAAAAACTAATGATGTAATGTATGGTGATTAACATAACAATAAAAAATTTAAAGGGCGGAAAAAACATATAGTGGGCACTCACTGTGTCTTTAGGATAAATGAAGTTGGTAGTCCCAAGGGTGTGATTTGAAGTGGAAATGAGACCTCAGGGACCACTTCTGTGTAAGTTCAAGTCATTGATCTTGTAATCGATTTCTTTTTACAAAGATGACTTTTTATCTTTTAGAGTCATGTTTTTTTCAATCTGCTTATTTAACCATAGGTATTTCCAGAGCTCTTCTCCTCTTACCCAAAATTCTGTATATGATCCCGTCTGAACACATGGCTTCCATAATAGCTGATGACACCTAGCTATATGCTTACTTCATCCCAATTCATGACTGCCTCCTGAAAAGCCCACCAAACATCCTGGAGTAAAACTAAACATGTCTCAGCTAAAACACATCACCATCCTCCACATGATCTTCTTGGGGGCCTGCTTCTAGTGAAGGACAAATATTGTCTAAAACTCTAAGCTCAAACCATCAAGATTATCTTTGTATATTCCTTCTTTTTCACACTGTTACTGTTCATCAGTGTTACCACTTAAAATGTCTCTTGAATTTATCTCCTTTTCTTTCTTCCTATCAGCACTGCTCGAGTTTAGACTGTTCACGTCTGTAGTTTGTTTCTTATCTGTTCTCTCTGCCTCTTGTGATTTGCATTTCCCTCTCACTCTTAAGCCCAAAGTCATGAAGATTTCTATGTTTTCATCTGTAGATGCCAGTTATCTTCCTGAAACACAGATCGAACAAGTCACTTTCTTATAAAGAACCAACGGCTCTTCACCACCTAAGGACAGAGTCTAAACTCCAGCATGACCCTCCAGGCCTTCCGCAATTTTCCTTATCCTCCTCTCCACCTGGTCTTGCCTCTCCCTGTCAAAGACTCTGAGCTCAACATACCTTGGACTAATTGAAAACCCAATCTACTATTTTGTGTTGTTCAACCTGTCGCCTCTGAGTGGCGCACCGTCTCCATCTTTGCTCAATACCCATTGAATTGTTCAAGCAGCTGACCACATTCATGTTCCCTGGGGAGAGCTCCATTCACGTGGACTCACAAAACACACTGCCTCCTTTTCTGAGGTTTGAGCTATGCTCAAATTTCCTGCTACCTTCTGTTTGTGTGTGTGCGTGCGCGCGCACATGCGTGCATGCGTGTGTGCCTGCGGGTGTGCACGTGGCTTGCTAGATTATAAGCTCTTTAAGGGCAGGGTATGGCATGTGACAGGTATTCCTTCCTCATTTTAAATGAATAAATTCCTTTAAGGTCCCAAGAAAGGACAAAAATCAACCAGAATGTGTAGTGCAGACAGAGACTCTGGCCAGATAACAGGGACCCTTGCCAGCCTTTGGCCCCACCTCCATGAGCGCCTCCTTGAGAGCATGCTATTTTTCGCCAGTCACATGCCAAAGCCTCTATAAGGGCAAGATCTTTAAGGTGGACAAAAGAGCATCGTTGGATCTTCTGTCTCTGCAGGAGCAGGAAGAAGCTTTTTTCCACCCATTTTTCAATGAAGAGGGAGAGCAGTATTGTCATCTTCTTCACCACATCGCTGCTTTATCATTTAGAAAATGTTTTCACAGTGCCACTCACTGTGACATCTCATTTCTCCTTTCAGTCCTGTAAGGTGGAAACTATTACGATTATTAATGTTATTTTCATTTCATAAGGCAAACTAAGGTTAGAGAAGTTGAGCGGTTGCCTAAGATCATGTGTGCTCTTTCCATCATAACCCACTGCCTTGGACGTCACGGATCTCACTTGAGCCTTGGCTCTGCTCAGAGTCCTCTTATTTCGTGCTCCAAGGCCTCACATGTTTCACTCCTTCTTTGGCATGCCTCCTGGCTGACACCCTATGTCTCTAATGAGCTCAGGCTTTCCTGAAACACCACACCTCCTATAAATTTGGGCAAATTCATGATTACATGACTCTGTGTTCTTATATTTGGGTCATTTATGCTTTTATGATTTGGGTGATTTAATTTGACTACATATTATTTGTCCTAATAATAAACTTTTTGAGAGTTTATATAGGAATGATAATGATAGTGCAAACTCTTCTAATCATAAACTCTCCTAAGTATAAACTCTGTGAAACAAGAGACAGTTATCTTCTGCTCACTTTGTAATTTCTCTCCAGCACATTCTGTACCACTTCACTGACTGACGGGTTCTACTCATCAACAGGGAAAGGCAGCATATGTGTCTGTAATCATCTGGTTATCTTTTGACACTAATATTTCATTTCTGTCAAACGTCCTAGAATTTGTAAAACCCAGGACTAGGTTCGTAAGCTTAATCTTCCCTTTAGATGTCAGTAGCACCTTGAAGAAGAGAAGGCCACAGTGAGTTTACCTAAAAGTGGTAAAGAGTTGGCTATCAGAACTTAATTGTGTCATGAAACATTTCTTTGATACTCTCTTTTTTCTCCTTGTTTCTTGCCCGTGGCATTGTGAACCAAAAGAAGACCATTGAACTTGAAACACGAAAGTTCTTTAGTAAAACCGAAGATGACTAATCTTTTGCAAATATTGAGTTTTTTTTTTTTTTTTGAACAAAGCAAAATAATATACCTTGATATACTCAGTGCTTTGGGAGGGAAAGAAAAGGGAGAAGAATGAAAAGCATATGGAGGGAAGAGAAGACGGACAGAAATACTTTCTCAATATTTTAAAAACAGTCCATTTTAAAACGTAAAATTTTTTCTCCAAGTGTGTCTCTTCAGACAAGACTCGTCAATGCTGCTAAGAGTTTGAGTCTGAGGCAGGGTGGACGATCACAAGTTTTGCAAGTTGTAGTAGGGTGATAAGTTCTACGAGTGAGGGCAGAGATGCTGTGGAAGGGTGAAATGGGGGCTTCTAAACCAGTCCTGGAAGGATAGGATAGGAAGGCTTCCTGGAGGAAGGACGGTCGTAGCTCAAACCAGAAGAATGAGGAGGTAAAGGGACTGGGAGGG